CCACCTCCTCGGACGCACGGTAACGTTGGCTCTGTTATCCACTTGGGTCTACCCAACGGCCCTGAGACTTCTCATAGTATGCCAAGCAAGAGGGCATCCAACCTACAGACCCAAGAGGGTGCTGCCGCACACTCTGGCTGTATTCAAGCAACTGGTAATAGTGCTCGAATGGCAGGCGTTTGCTTCGCTGGTCAACCATGCATTGGCAAAGATAGCCACCAAACAAGTACTTCCGGGTACATTGCGCGTCCAATGCCTTGTACAATAACTGATGCAACAGAGGGACGACCAGATCTTCGTCCACAAGAAATGGCGCCCTTTGTCGATGGCAGTTCAATAAGACGCTCAACCAGTGGCCGGATTCCTGCTACATGCCCACGCTCATCTGCCATGATTGCGGCAAGCTCAGCGCCACATCTACCCTTGGCCTACACAAATACCCATGGTGCTAACAAGTCCGGCACATGCCCGCAGCCTAGCCAGGCCTGCTTAGCCTATTCACAGGGCCAGGAAGAGATGTGCCGGGCGTGTGGCTATTACAATACTGGTAATAAGAATTCACAGGGCCCACATCCAGTTGGCCTCCGGATGCGCTTGTTACGATTTGCGGGCATGCTAATATGCAATTTGTGTGCTGAGATACAGGCTTACGCTATATTTGAATAAAATGCATAATTTTCCCACTCCCATTGGCATATCACTAAATCAGATAATTTGATCTTTCACTATATCACTTCAACTACTATATAAACATAATTTATTCGCCTATATACGTATAGCTACTTGTACTTCCATTCCCAAAAAAATATTTCAGAGAATCTATTAGAAGTTGACAAGTTCACACACTGTGATTTTAAAAAGTGTCAGTAAAAAGGAGTTGTCTATTAGTTGTTAAACAACGCTAATACTGAGACCCTCTACTATGTATCCATCTTATCTCCATCCTCACAAAATGAACTTGTCACTATTCTGTAAAAACTAATGCATGAACTACAAAAAATATTATTAGTAGAGTATTTGTGTCTTGACTTATAAGATTCTAATGTCTGAATTATAAATTTGCCTTCTGGCTGAGGTAATACATATTTTATGTCTGTACTACACATTGCTGCCGTTCTTTAAGCTGGTAATTGTTTTACCGTATTAAAAGAGAATTATTTTACAATAAGTATAAAAATACAGCAAAATAAAAAGAGCGGTTTAGCCTCGTTTTCGCAAGGTGACAATACAATATCAAATGAGATCGACAGGATATAGAATGTAAGAAGGATTACAGCCAAACACCTTGCTTGTCTTTTTGGTTGGCGAATATTCACAGAAAACGGTTGCACTTTCGGAGGATGTCTGTTTCATGGCAAAAGAAAAAAAAACACAGCACACAACGTTGATTTATTCTTTGCACAAACTACAAAGTTATAGAAGTTGTTTGACCTTGTTTTCGCAACTCGGTCATGTTGGTAGGAAGACTTAAAGAAACGCACCTAGTCCGGAGTCCATTGCATGCATCATCGTTTCCAGAGTAGGACCGTGGACTATTCAACGAAAGGAGACTGCGACCACACAAAAGGCCACACCATCTTGGTCTTTATACCTTCGATTAAACTACAAAGTAATCCTTCTTCGTTTTGAGATGAGGGCAATTTGCGAATCCCTTTATCAACCTCTCCAAAGCACACAAAAGGTATGGAAGCGTTTCTCATTTCTAATCGGCCTGCATTGACATTTAGCACTATCTTAATTCAGCTAATTACGGCCTGAAGATATGTGCCCTCTCTTATTAGGTTGTGCGAAATTTATATTCGTATATGAAAGCTTAATTCTATCGGATGCGAAATACCATGAAACTCTACTTGGACCCGCCCACTAGTTCTACGAATTTCTGCGTTAAAATTATAACTCGCACTCTGTTACTCTCCTTTCATGCAATCCAGTTAGCAAATCTACTAATAGTAATAAGCCTAACCAGACTTTTTGGATATTTAACTGGAGGTAATTTCGTGAGGAAAATTGGTGACAAAATAAGCTTCGAAATAGACTATTGATAGAGTCCAGCTCCAATAGTTAGACACAATAGTAATCGTTAATTGTCCATCGTATTTGGATGCCTATTAGTTTTATGTACGATATTTTGTATTCTGTACGAAAAATGCAAATTTTTAGAGCCCAATTCATAGATACATTTCTTATAATAGGCGTAGCTTAGCTGCTGAAAAAGACTTGATGAGGCAGGGTAGTAAAAAATAGAATAAGTATTCATACGGTCTCTAGACGTTAACGGAAAAAGATGGACCAAAGCTGACAGTGAGCAATTAACTTATTTTAATATAAGAAACATGATATTGCCTAGATAGTACAGGTAAACAAAACAGCCAATTGTAGGAGCTCGTTTTGGGACTTGTTCGTAGCCCATATTTTTATTCAAAGAACACATGGTTTATATATACGGAAATCTTAATTCAATAAATGAGTAGTTAAATGAGGAGAGTTTTTTCATCAAAATATGGTCAACTTGGTTATGTGAATCTTTAGTTGGTTTGTTAAAACCGTTAATATAGACATTTGCTATCACCTCCATTATAGGAAAGAATAAGGCAAATCCTGATTCGATGCTGAGTTTGGATCCATTCTCTGTTCTACTATATTTTTTTGCATTAAGTATTGTTTCGAGACTACCAGTAAATCAGTAAAATGAGATGTATTCACCAAATTTCGTTTAAGGTGATGAATAACTGGTAGAGGAAGAATTTTCCCACAATTATATGAGTTAAGCTGACTTTTCTATTGAATTTCACATAGCCTTGCTTTCCCAAAAGTTGTTCTCATCCAGGGTGGACTGCAGTTTCGACCTCACATTGATCTTATCAACACCCTCAGCGGGAGTCGAACCACGACAGTGCAGGATGGGAACTTGACACGCTAACCACTCGCCAAAAAGGTTTGGCCTTCTTTGAAAATTCACATTTGCCCTGTGGCCCAAAAGGCGCTCGTTGCAGTGTAGCCAAGTGGTTAGCGTATCAAGCTACCATCCAGCATTGCCGTGGTTTGACTCCCGCTGAGGGTGTTGATAAGATCGATGCGAGGTCGAAACTGCAGCCCACCCTGGATGAGAACAACTTTTGGGAAAGCAAGGCTATGTGAAATTCAATGGGAACGTCAGCTCAACGCATATCATTGTGGAAAAATTCTTCTTCTATCAGTCCTTCATCGCCTTAAACGAAATTTGGTGAATACATCTCATATTACTGATTTACTGGTAGTCTCGAGACAATACTTAATGCGAAAAAATATAGTAGAACAGAGAATGGAGCATACTGTTGTGAGCATACTGGGAGCATACTGTTGAGAAACTTTTTCCACATGCCCATAAGGGGGCCAATTTGCGAATCACTCCCACCTGCCTTTACAAGCAAAAGGAAAGGCATGAGAGAATTAATTACTTTTAGAGGTTGTTTGACCTAGTTTTCGCAACTTGGTCATATTGTTAGAAAGACTTAGATGGACACACCTAATCGGGAGTCCATTGTATGCATGATAATTTCCAAAGTCGTACTTTGGACGTGGTACATTCCCAGACGTTTAGCCGGCGTCGTAGTCGGCATCGTCAGTGAGTCTCGCCATTCTTAGCCCCATACTACAGCTCATCAATGAGGCAAGTGAAGCCGATCCTTTGACCAAACGTGTGCTAAACAGTTGTGGTATCTTCCCTTCTACTCTGGGCTATTCACATTTCCTATATCCTCGTATCACGCCTTCAATATTACAATTTTTACCGTGCTTG